AACCCCGAAAAATCGATAGTTGAGAAAATCGATAGTTGAGATATAACTGATGGGTATCTAGAACAGCCTATAATGCTGGGAAGAATCGGATCGCGACAGCGATATTTTGAATTTTAATATGTACTTTTGTGCTGAAGATCTGCTGGCTGATGATCCTAACATATGATGACATTGCTCCTTCACTGACTGTTGAAAATTTTCATTTCCTTTTTATAAAATTTCATGGTATTTATTGTAATTTAGGCAATCCAACAGAACAATATAAACAAACACAGACCGTGCACATAATGTATGACTGGCAATGTAATTGCCTGTCCGTCTACCTGTCTCTGTGTGTAAACAAAATCTTTAAAAGAAAAACCTCTACTAAGCGGATTTTGATCAAATTTGGGGCATAGGTACCCTTGGATAGTGCGCAGACATTAGATTAGTTTTGGGACCATGTCCGTTCATAACTAATAGCTAAATCTCAAAAACTTTAGAACGGATCAATTTTTTTCTATATTGATACCTTGGAGCTATGCACAGACTTGGGTTATTTGTGAGCATGCGAATTATGAAAAACAAAACAAAACAGCGAGCCATATTTATTTCTAGCTGGAAAAAACAGACTAAATAATGTAAAATGAAATCTACAAAAATACCAGCTTGAAGAATATTAGTTGCTCTTTCAAATTTCGCAAAAGACTTACCTTTATTTCACCGATATCGGTAGAATAAATCGAGAAAACTACACAAATTGATTCCATTTACGAACAATTAATGAGCCGCCCGGCCGGCGGTGGCATGTGCGAGATATGGGTCTCATATAAACAAAGATGGCGACTTTGACTGTTGCGAAGACCAACGAGTACAAATTGAGACGTTACTAAGGAGTCGTCGGCGGTAATTAGTGAAAGTCGCACCCAGGTCAAATCTCGTACCCGTGATTTCATTAGAAAAACGCATTGAATTGTGGGAAAATCAATGTTTATCAACACAAGTGTCGCACATGCGCAGCGCGACGACAACCGCCCTTTATCGGTAATACAGAAAACACAACGTAGTTCAGCACAGTTGAAGACGTGGCCTATTCAGTCAAGAACCAATCACAAGACTGGTTGCGAACCACAGCGAGTTTACGACTCGGTTAGCCTCGCTCAAGAACAATTGTTTGAAATTACGTTTGCCGCCGAAATATTTTAATTCTGTCGAGCGCTATATTTACATTACCATAATTAAAAAAGTATAAGACAAAGAAAGCAAATTTCTGCATAAAACAAACTTAAAACAAAAAACGCTCAGATCCAAAGCCATGGAATGCGGTAATATATTTATAAGCGAAGGTATGATTCCCCTAGCTTGCCTGGATCCTAGGTTCCATTATATTGTACCATCCCTACAAACTATATTAATTATACTATTTTGCTTCTATGTTTTATGAGAAACAATATTTTTTAGGTGTGCTCAAAAAAAAACATTGCGGTTACCTTCAAATTCAAGATGGCGTCCAATATGGTTACTGAATGATAAATGTACACATATCTGGTTAAATACACATGTTAGAATGTTAGTTTAAATGTCTATACATTTGTTTTATTGACTAAATAATCCACATATTTGCATTCCAAGTTGATATGAATAGTTGATAGCAATATACCTGTGCTAACCGAGTCCACACTTACATTTTAGTTAATTGTTCGTCTCGTGGACCTGATGACTTTAGTAATTATAATAGTACCAATTAGCCATCAACAATCAGTAGTCAAGAAAAATATACTGACAAAATCGATGGAATCAGAACATCATGAACCCCCATAACGGAGTCAGACCAGGTGCACGTGAAGGCTAAGCATCTGCTGATGACACGCCATATCCGCCCTAGTGTTCAAAAGTCATGTCAGGGGGAAAGGTCAAATCACGTTTACTGGACAAACAGCCACACCAAGTCACAAGGACAAACAGTTGTATGATATTGGATAGTGGATCTGTTTTAATGATACATGTATAATATTGCTCACTTCAAATTGACAAATATATACAAAATTGTGTACAAACAAATTTGAGCAATGAGCAGTCCGGAACTCTATGCCGGGCCATGTTTTTCATAGCTGTTTTGGACCCTAATCATATAAACTGCTAAATTTATTTACAAGATAGAAAAAACAGTTTGCAATATAAAGTTTAAGTGAATTTTATTTTGAAATGCACAATATAAAGTATACAATGGGCAATTAAAGATAACATTAACATGTGTGGCACACACACACATTAACATATCAAAGTTATATTAATATTACGATCTGAACAGTAACTACTATTATATTATACCAGTATATTGTTGGTGTTAATCCATTGATTTGATTGGTCCAAACACAAATTTGCATATGCAATCAATGGTATATTGGCTGATAATGCACGGCTAAACCAAGTGGCCCTGAAACATGAATGGACTACAGGTTTAATACGGAAATACATCAAACCGGTAGTATTTGATTTTTAGGGAAATATAGTGGTTGAATTTTGGAAGAATATTGAAAAAAATACTGAATTAAAAACATCTGAAAAGTTATATAACCATAATATTGCTTTTTGTTAATGGTGGGATCCAAGTTGTGAGCGTCGGTCGTTGGGTGATTGTCGTTCGCCACACAAACCTAAACCACCGTCCCTCAACACCGTGAGGTGCCTAAACGTACGCCAAAACGCTGTGTTCTCCGTGTTGTGATTTTGAGATGGATTGCGAACCTCCAACAAAGAAAACATGATCTTTAAGTATTAGATGAGATTGAGGGATTGAAGCACAAAAACAATGCAAAAATGTATGCCACCAATTATGGGGTGAGATCACCACCAAAATAGAATTATT